TGCCATGTTTACTTTCAAAGAGACTCCAACGACTATTTTATTCTTGCAGGTACTAATGGAGACTATCATATATCGGGAAGTTGAGTCCTAACGTGATTTGCATTTATCAAACTTTTGCTGTGTTCTTACGCAACTAAAGTACCATTTCTGATAAAAAAAATCTATCTTGAGCTATACGTTCGGTAGATTACTTTTTTTAGTTTCACCCAATTTAATAGTTAACTGTGGTTTTGCCTCAGCTTACTATTCTGTTTTTTTTTCAGTTTTTCACGTAAAGGCTAGTTCAGTTTATCTCATCCATTTTTATCCATTTTATCCGTTTTCCGTGTGCTTTTTAGTGTATTTTTACGGTCTTAGGCTTTTGCTAGCATCTACACCACAGTTTACGTCAATACAGTCATGAAAAATTCATGCTAACGACCTGGATGCCGTTTTGCTGTTACATCTGGCATGCAGTGCGACAACTGCAAAGGTTGGTTCCACGAAGCGTGCACAGATCTCACAGCAACTGCTTACAACAGACTCAGCAAGTCGGATCATAAGTGGGAATGTGTTATGTGCAGCACGGATGCGGTCGTCTTGCTGAGTAACATCATTGTCCTACTGACAGGTCTGCAGAGCAAGTTGTCGGCAAACTTGGGAAAAGATAGTCAAAAAATGGGTAGACAAACAGAGCTCATTGAAAACGAGAACAGGGATGTCGACAGGTCTACTAACGACGGAGCATGCAACAGCATTAATGATGACACGCTGAAACCAGTACCATGATTACGACGACGGTACTCGACTCCCTCAGTAAACTCGGGTCTCACAGCACAAGGTCCCTGAACACGACAGTGGTTCCAAAAAAGTTTGTAGGTGATTGGGCCCATGTCAAAAGAGCTAAAAAGGACCAGGTGTCACCGTCTAAGTTGAACATGCCAGGCGTTGTACGGAAATCAGCTGATGATTTGGTCGCACAGTCTACCCCCAAGAATGTCCGTCCGGTCATCAAAGAGCCTAGGATTCATAAACGTGCTTCGACCTCCAAGCAACAAGGTATTAAACCTGAACCCATCGGGAAACCTGGTAAATTAACAACAGTTCGTGACGATTCTCTCATAATCATGAACCTCATTGACAATCCTGACCTTCCTCTCAGTCTGCAGGACAAAAACGACAGGATGCTCTGGGGTGAATTGAACAAGAAGCTCGAACTTCCTAGAATAGAGCCTTTGACGGTCACCCGGCTCACTCGAGGAAAGGATTCTAAGCATCTAAATCACCCGAGGCTTCTCCGAGTAACACTTAAGAATGCTACCGACGTAGAGGACGTCTTGCTAGCAAGTCACTTGCTGAAATCCGATGGTAACGTAAGAATATTGCCCGACATACCGTACTCTGAGCGCAATATCATACGGAACACCCCTAAAGAATCTCGCGAGAAGTTTTTCCGCGGAAGAAACATAATTGTGCAAGGTATACCGGAAAATGCAGACCCTACTCAATCAAATTCTGACATCAGGGAATGGAAATTCATCAAACAGTCCTTGAGGCTCAAACACATACTGACTCAGCATGTGACGAGACTAGCCAAGAAGGACGGTGATCCTAGACCCCGTCTAATGAAGATAACCTTCCCATCTTCCCACATGGCGGCTGCAGTTCTGGAAGCATTTCGTGCCAACAGACGTCGATTGCCACCTGGAATCCACATGCACCCGGATAGGCCATACGAAGCTAGGACCAAACACAAAGGCAAGTTGGAGCTGACCATTCCACTTGTGGACTGTCTAAACGATAAAAAAACGTGTAAAGGACAGGGCCTACCACCTCGGCAAACCTCATATAGGTGGGCTACCTGTCCATTCACATAAGGTTCATACAGAAAAACAGGACGAAGCTCACGCGTTCCAAATTGAAAGCATAAACTGCTTATATATGAACGCCGCGAGTCTACCAAACAAACTGGATGAACTACGTGAACTTAGCAACGCTAATAAGGCCCATCTGATAGGAATATCTGAAACCTGGATATCTTCTCAGTTCTCGGACCAAGAGTTAGCATTACCTGGGATGACTTTGTTCCGCAACGACAGAAAAACAGGAATTGGGGGCGGAGTAGCCATATACATAAGCTCTTGCTTGGAGGTGCACCAAGTTCACAACCTCGAGTTTAACAATCTTGAGGAATCCATATGGTGCTCTGTAAGATTGTCTAGTACTTCGAGGTGTCTAGTCGGAGTCATTTACAGGAAGCCAACTGCCGACATCGAGTACGATAGTCGTATGCTGGAAGGACTATCCCGCTCTATCCGTCTCGGTTTCACACACATCCTGATTCTAGGGGACTTTAATCTCCCTAGAGTCAACTTCGCGGAACACACGTACACTGGAGGCGACAACTCAATTGAAGCTCGGTTCTTCAACCTCATCGATGACTTGGGCTTATATGAAAATGTGAGGTCGGCAACTCGTTGGAGAAACAGTCAGACACCATCGCGCTTAGACTGTGTATTCACAAACGAAGAATTCCTAGTTGACAACCTCTCAATCCTGGCTCCTCTGGGAAAAGCGATCATGCCGTCATAGCCTTCAGTTTTGTCATCAAAACTAAGCTAAGGTATCCCAACAATAATTTGCGTTGGAATTTTAAACGGCTGAATGTGCCAGCTCTACATGACTATCTACAACAGGTGGATTGGGATGTTCACCCTCAACTCGATGTGGACGGTCATTGGGACTTCTTACTGCACACGCTCTTATGTGCTACAAACCATTCAGTTCCTCAAACGGTTCCCAAAAGCTGCAAGCCACCTACAGTAATCAAGAACCGTACCCTTCGCCTGCTAAGCCGCAAAAGGCACTGTTGGGCGGAATACAAACTAACTGACAACGATGGAGCGTATAGGCAATATAAACATATCAGGAACATATGCACGAAGGCTATAAGAGAAGACAGGCTTCAGTACCAACAAAGCTTATGGACAAATTCGCCTCTAACCCTAGAAGCTTATTCCGTTATGCAGCCTCTCTTCGTCAAGCCAAAACAGGAGTTTCTCAACTGCTAGGTCTTAACGGCCCGACCAACAACGATGGCGACGCCGCTAACCTTCTGGCGGCACATTACTCTCAAACATTTCAACCGGCTGACATCAACTTTATTGACGACAGTTTCATCTGCAATTCCACAGGACTTTCTGAAGTGGACCTAAGCGCTGACTTGGTGTTCCGGAAATTGCAGCACTTAAGATTAGACACTTCTCCTGGCCCGGATATGGTTCATCCTGCCATACTGAGGGAGGCAGCCTCAATCCTGGCAACGCCGCTTAGCGTGATGTTTTCACACTCGCTTAGCCGAGGCAAATTACCGGAAAATTGGAAGTTGGCTCACATCACACCAATTTTCAAAGGTGGTCGACGCAATGAACCTTCAAGTTATCGGCCGGTGGCTCTTCTGTCATTACCTTCAAAACTCATGGAGTCCCTGATATGCGACGGTTTAAATGACTATCTACTGTCCTTAAATTTCTTCTCACCCCAACAGCATGGTTTCAGGAAGGGTTACTCTTGTATAACCAACCTGCTGACTGCGGTGGACAGATGGACAAGCATCCTCGATTGCAAGGGAAAGGTTGATGTCATTTACCTTGATTTCTCAAAAGCTTTTGATAAGGTTAACCACTTGTGTCTTATCAACAAGCTCAAACGACTAGGTATCAAACCACCTCTAATCGATTGGCTTACTTCATACCTAAAAAATCGACACTTTAAGGTTAGGGTTAATTTCACTTTATCTCAGGCTATGGAATGTCCTAGTGGGGTCCCCCAGGGCTCAGTACTAGGGCCTCTTCTCTTCTTGATCTACATAAATGATCTTCCTCAACAGGTAACGTCAGACTTATTACTTTTTGCCGACGACGTGAAACTTTGGAGAGAGATACGCAACCAAGACGATATACAGGCACTTCAGGAGGATCTGACTCGACTTCAAAGTTGGGCAGACGATAACGGACTTACCTTTAACACTTCAAAGTGTAAAGTAGTCCATCTGCGACATGTCGCAAACTACAGTTACAACTTAGGAAACTCCTCTCTAGTAGTATCCCAAGTCGAAAAAGATTTAGGAGTCCTGGTGCCCCATGATTTAAAGTCTTACGCTAACTGTGACAAAAATGCCTTCCGAGCAAACCTTGCACTGGTAACGTTGAAGCGCATTTTTGGACAGTTTGACGGAAGAACTTTCCATACAATCTTCAATAGTTTCATCCGTCCCCATTTAGAGTACGGAAACATAGTACTTCCCCCTCACTCCAAAAGGATAAGGTCACTTTGGAGCGTATCCAACGGCGAGCCACGAAATCAGTTCGAGGACTCAAACTTAAACCTTACGAAGAACGCCTCCATTCACTAGACCTTTACCCATTAGAGTATAGACGTCTCAGAGGTGATTTATTAATGGCTTATAGTGTTCTTAACACTTCTGGACATCCTCTTAAACACCTACTTAAGCTTAGTTCGAACACTAACCTAAGGGGTAACACCCAGAAACTGGAGACACAACATAGCCAAACGGAATGTAGACACAACTTCTACTCCTTAAGAGTTGTCAAATGCTGGAACTCGCTGCCGGCCGAGCTAGTCCAAGCGACTTCCCAGGAGTCCTTCAAGAAGCAACTTGGCCTATTCTTAAGGACCAGGGACATCATCATACTATGATTTACCAATTTCTTTTTCCTCTTTTATTGTTGACATGCCTAGGTTCCTGCCTGGAGGATTTGATGATCCCTGCTACTAGACACGGAAGCCTGTTAAGCGAAAGCTTCTTCTATTCCGTCCACAACCATTTGAACAATTTAATCTATCACTTATTAACTTAATTATTTTTACCTCCAGTTATTAGCAGGAACTCAACGAGAATAAAATCTCTATATAACCAAGAACTCATTCACTTTATCCAGAAAAAGATCCCAAATAACAAACAGTGCACATCCTCCTAGGTGAAGTCAAAAGTCGAAGTTGGTAGGTCGTACTTTTACCCGCGCTTACGAAGTTGTGAGTTACTATGAATGCTCCTGCTTCGTTCGAACCATTCCTGCTTGCCGATGGTGAGAAGAAGTGGGTGTTTGACACATTATTACACTTGTAGAATCTCCTTCGAAAAGGATACTCAGGTTCCGAATGCTGCCATTTTTACCCTAAATCGAGAGGATCACACTGTCGGAAATATGATAACATGGTGTGTTTTCTAATAGTATATTGAGTACATATATGCTTTTTAAAATGTCCGCTATGTGTTGCAGGAAGTTTACTGATTATTCGATCTAGGTAGCGTTCTCAATGCAGTTAGCCCAACTTTATTTTCCGGAATATGGTTAAGTGTGGTATGTAAAGATAGCTACTTAGTCATGTTATTATCCATAAAATTCCAAGCTTCGGTAGTGAGTACATATTAAACTAAACTTTGGTGGTATGGATTGGGAAGTACCAATTACCTGATCCAAATAATTTCGTGGTTATTTCGTTTCTACACCCATGAAGTCTTTAAGATATGTTTATTTACTTCATTTCAGTAATCAGAACTTGCTGGTATTCGTGCTATAAGTAATTCCTTTGTTCAACTTTATTTATAAGTGTTCAGTCCAAGCGCGAGTATCATACATATGTTTTGATCTTATTGTCTACCAGGCAGATTGGAATTTCAGTTTCAGTTTGGGAAGGACAGGAGGCTTGATGGCCTGTGTTAGTCCTGGCAATGGTGATCTCTTAGTTGGTCCAACTTTCTTTTGAAAGAGTCGACGGATGGAGCCTCAACCACGTGCTGAGGTAATGAATTCCACTCGTTGATGATTCGATGGGAAGTAATTTGTTCTGGGCTTGTGGGCTTGGAGTGTCCTCGTAAGTTCTGTTTTGGAAGACAAGAAAAATGAGGGCATATCAGGTGCAAATTTGTCACTAAGCAATTTGAAAACTGTTATCAAGTCGCCTCTAGTTCTGCGATATGACAACGGGAAAAGGTTCAGCTTGGCCAGTCGAGCATCATACGGAAGCTTCGCTATTCCGGGAATCAGCTTAGTTGCCGTTCTCTGAACCTTTTCCAGAAGTTCACTGTCTTTTTTTAAGCAGGGGCTAGTCGCTTGTATGCAGTACTCAAGTTTAGGACGTACGAACACTGTATACAAAGTCAAAAACGTTTTAGCGTCGACATGACTAAAAGCCCTACGTATTGACCATGAGGTTCTAAAACCTTTGGCGGCTATTGCACGGCAGTGTGCAGTAGTCTTGAGGTCTTGGCTAACGATGACTCCTAATTCATTATGTGTCTGGACGGCAGGTAGCTCAGTGTTATCGTGTATGTATCTGTACCTTGATGACCGATATACATCACAACACACTTGGAAGTATTTATCGGCAACTGCCAGGTTTGAGACCATTCATATAATTTCTTCAGGTCATTTTGGAGTTCTAATCTATCACCCTTACATAGTATCGTTCTCCATATCTTGACATCGTCAGTATATAGCAAGACCGATGATGATAGGAGACAAGGAAGGTCATTTACATACAAGAGGAATAGCACTGGCCCCAAAACTGTACCCTGGGGCACTCCACTAAACACAGTTCCCCAGCTAGATAACTTTGAGTTCACCCGAACTCTTTGTTGACGCCCAACTAAGAAGTCTTTTATCCATATAAATAGATTGCCTCCAATCCCGACATTTCTTAACTTATATAACAGCCGGTTGTGCGGAACTTTGTCAAAAGCTTTGCTGAAATCAATAAAGGCTACGTCTACAGGTAACTTTTGGTCCTTAAGAGCGCACCAGCTTTCACGAGCCACTAATAAGTTAGTGAGACAAGAGTAACCTATTCTGAAACCGTGCTGCTTCTCCGAAAGGATCCGGTTTTCATCGAGATACTTAAACAGCTCCTTCCGAATAATCTTTTCTCAGGTTTATGTTTCTTACCTGTTTTGAAGACAAGACTTACTATGGCGTTTTTCCAGTCTTTTGGTAAATGACCCTGCGTTACGGATAGATTAAATCATATACTTAAAGGGTTCGCAACGAAGTTAGATAATTCCTTCAGTAGTCTAGGATATAATTCATCGGGCCCCGTGGATTCACCTATGTCAAACTTATTTAGTAGACCAAAGACATCGAGTTCTTTAATGGTCACGCTATCCATTGTATGTGTGGGGGCATCTGTATGCACTGACGAGAAGGGTGATTCTATGGTATATACATTGCTAAAGTAGTTCGAGGACACTTGAGCCTTACCAAAGTCGTCCTCCACTAATGATGCGGCAGTGCTGTCTCCCCATAAAGCAGGAATATTTCCTCTTCTCTTTATTCTTTGGTTTATATGGGAATACAAGCGTTTAGGACATTCTATGGATTCCTTAACAATTTTTTCTTCGTACAACTTTCTAGACTTACGGAGGGTCGAGGCACAAGTATTCCGAGCTTTTCGATACTGAGATTTTGTCTAATCGGTCCCCAGTAACCTAAATATATCCCACATTTTTCTTCTCTTACGGAGAAGGATGCGGACCTCCCCACTGAACCATGGTGGGGAGTTTCTCGGCTCTCTTGGTATAGTCCAAGGGATGTGGAGTGTGGTAACTTTTAAGTATGAATTTCGAAATGCATCCTAGGCCGTTTTAATTGAGGACTCTGGGTCTATTGTCCAATCTACTAACGATGCTGAGTGCATGATATCTGGTATGTTTGCTTTCCAGACGTTACGTCTGGATTGGACTGACGCGTGCTCGTGACTGAGTCGAAAGTTAGAACTGCGTGATCACTTTTACCTAGGGGTCGCATATAATGGAGGTTCGCAACGTCATCCTCTTAGTGAGTCAGTATAAGATCTAGTAAGGATGATTCAGTGTCCGGGTCATGCCTTGTCGCTTCTTGCACATGTTGCACTAGGGCACATGTGATAACCGCATCAACTAGTTCCTGCTCGAAGGAATTTTCTGACGATTCAGTTCTCAGATTTTCCCAGTCTACCATTGGTGCATTAAAGTCCCCTAGGATTAGACATCGACCACTTTGTGACCAAGTATTGAGACTGCTTAACAGGATCTCATTTACCTCACAGCTTGGACTGCGATAGACCAAACCAATCAGTAGCTCTTGTCCTCTGCATTTCACGCGGCAGCTAACTAATTCACACGTCCCACTCTCATGGGATACACTGTCGATAATGGCAAATGAGATAGCATTCCTAATGAGTAGAGCTACTCCCCCTCCTTTACACTTTTGTATTCTGTCAGCCCTTACTAACGTAAAACCCTCGAAATCAAGTTCCATACCATCTATAGCCTGTGTCAGCCAGGTTTCTGTAACTGCGATTATGTCTGGCTTTGTAGAGTCAATCTATACACCTAGTTCCGATCGCTTATTAAGTAAGCTTCGGGCATTACTGTAACAGATCCGAAGCCTATTTAAGTGGCTTCCTGCTTCACCCAGAGTGGCTTCCGCATCATTTTGTGTCGAAGCCTTACAACCCGAAAATTTACAATTTTCAGATCCTTTTCGCCAGCGTCTAACCTAAGTTGTAGTTCTTTTTCGGCTTCCCGTCTCTTTACACGGTCTGCTAATGGTAAGTCAGTCAGCTACAACGTAGGACCAGGCACATATATATTCATCGGTCCAAGTTGCCATACCTCATTAACACAACAAGAAGAACACCGGATTCATAAAAGTGGTTAATTCAGTGGTGGTAATATATAAAAGAAAGATTGTAATAAGGATATAGTACAGGAAGAAAGAATTAGTTCGTAGAGAGAAAGATATGAAGCGATTTTAATCTTATAGTTTAAGGGAAGTTGAAGAGTGTATACACCGACGCCATTGTGACCGATTCTGAGATATGTCACCCACAGTCTCCAACCATTAGTTACGATAATCACGCGGACCCCAACCAAGTAGTCTGCATCTCCCAACATGGTTCAGACTGCAAGTTAGTGACTTCAAGCACTGGTGCTACGTTTTGGTTTGGCCGCCCCTAACTTTCTTCTAACCACCCCTACACCGGTCAGCATTGCACGTCGTGGTAATCGGTGTTCAGGCATACGTAACACGTGGCCCAACCATCTCAGTCGATGAAGATTCACAACCTCATCGACTGATTTACCACCATTCCCTAACACCCTGCGTCTAACCTCACTATTACTTACCCAGTGATCCTAGCAGATGCCAGAAATATTTCTAAGGCATCTGTGGTCAATGGTAAGTCCTTACAGATAAAAACTCCTGAACCCTTTAATTTATGTCCATTCTGTAAAATTAAGTCGCGTTCTTTCGAGGATTTGAATACTACTTTAAGCAGTCTGGATTGATTTGGTTTCAAGTTCGCTAGACTCCCTAGTCTGTACACCTTTAGCATGGTGACTCCGGTGATATTTTGAGGCATGAGTTGATTAAGCAGCTGCTTAATCATGTCATGCTCAAAACGAGCTTTTGGTTCAGAGCTCTCACTCTCCTTGGTTCTATGAAAAACAACTGATCTGTCGCCGTGATCAGCTTTCGATTTTTCGACTACTTTTACGGGGGCAGGATTCCCTTTTATATCGCTACGTTGTTTCTTCCTTACAACCTGTACCCATTCGTCAACGGTGCTAGAAGAAGCAACAACATTTGCGTCAAACCTACTGTTGGATTCCGGAGGGTTGTCGACGACATGGGAGGTCAGGTTATGTTTCCCGCTAGAAACCGATCGAGCCTTGCGATTGCGGCTTCTAGGCGTTTCCTGCTGGATGCCATTTGGAAGACGGGGTACAGAAGAACCTTCTTTTCTTGAGTTTTTGTTTGAGACAGACCTCTCTAGAGACTGTTCTTCCTTCTTTGATCGGTGTGAGTCACCTATTTTCGAACTCACCTGAGTTTGCTTCATATCGACAGAGCGAGTGCTGTTTGATGTGTCCCAACTACGCTTGCTAAAACACTTTTACGCAGAATCTAGCAGTGAGAGGGCCTCGGTTAACAAGTTGTTCGCATCCGAACAGCATTGTTGACAAAGCCAAACGCAACCCTTTTTACTGAACCTTTTGAAAGCCGCAGGCGTTAAATTCGTGCAAACTTCGTGTTACCAGTCTTTGCATTCATCGCACTGCATGCAGCTTTCAACGGGATAACGACAACCCGGACGTTGACAACTGCTTTTTTTGCACTGTCCGGCCATTAGAAAGGGGTCCTTTTCAAAAAAGAGCGAGAGGCAATAATGCTCAGAGACAAAAAATGACCTATGACCAAAAAAGTGGAGAACTGTAGATTGTTAGAACCAAAAGTACTAACAGATACAGTAGAAAATAAGGTACTCAAGAGTACCGGCGATAAACTAATTGAGAAACAGTAAACGATGCTCTAGTCGAATACTTTAACTGAAATAAATTCAATTAAAGTAAAAACAGTAGTCTTGACACGTAATAAACGAGAAAAAATACTACTGTCCTTTTTAATTAGCTCGCCTGTGTTTTCACGTAATTCGGACTCATTTTCGTTTTGCTGCCTTTCTTAAAAGTGGTTTGTAGAAATAATTGCTTTCGCCAGACATACAGCTAATTTCAGTGGATCATTTTCACCATAAGTGGAATATAAACCATCGGTAGTATAATAAGTTAGTGATTAGGTCGACCAACTCCCGGTTACTGAATTGCATGTTCAAACTTCGTTCCGCTTAGCCCCGTTCTGGCATCCAGATATACTTACTATTCATCATACAGAGTGTAGTTTAGAGTTGAACATGTGAATCCGCATTTGATTACTGAGTTTCAACAGGATTACTTTTGTGTGAAGGTATGTTTTATAGAAATTATTATCTACGTTATACTCAAAATCGCAGAGGAGATAGGTTATTTCATCGATTAGGTTTTGGACTTGTATCAAATATGTCGATAGTCACCACGCTAAAACATGCTACTACTAAATAAGGTCACTAACCATTGGTGTTAAGTGTGTCATAGGGTGTAAACTGTCAATGTAGTTCTTCCCTATCTGTTCATTTTAATATCTTTCCGTCTTCTCTTTGCGTTGAGATGCTTGGCAACTTAAACTGATTTTTGTTATGCGGTGTTTTTTGACATATCTGTTTTTCTGTATATAGTACTATACACAATTCACCATTCCATACTATCTTTAAATCCAGGCAGTATGACATTTTTACTCGGTTTTATGAGTCACTAGTTATTAGATCCTTATTCAATCGAGTAAAACAACATATTTGGGGGAAGTAATTACTGATAATAGTTGACAGGCTGGAGATCCATTTTACTTTATGTGTAAGCAAACAAGTTAGAAATTCCTATAGAGTTATCATCAGGCTAGTACAGTCCGACTACACCTTCAAAATAACTGTCAACTTTGAGCTTTTATGAGAACGGTGATGAAAATGATAATGGAATCTCCGCCAACTTCTGTTTAAAACCATATCTGACTACGTCTCAAGTGCCACGATCTTTAGGACTACAACTGAAGAGCCATGATAAACTAACAAACGCCAGTGCAGTTCAGAATAAAGTTATTGGATTTTAAAGGATTTGTATGAGGCATCTAATTGATTTTCTAATTCTATTATGGCAAAAGTTATTTAAAGTATAAGACCATCCAGAATCCATACAGAGATCATGAGTAAACATAATGCCATAAAACTGTGGAATGACTAGATTAAAACTAAAATTAGACTGAAGTATCCAAGCTGAAAGGGATAGGTTTGATAAAACGAAGGTAAAAGGCTTTAGTCGATCATGCACAAAATTAATTACTTGTATGTGTGCATATTAGTCTTATTCTTCCATAAATTTCAGGCAGTTCCCTACTCAGTCTTTTCTTTAACCACTTTTGGTTTTCATCTTATTCATTTTATCATTTAACGCTTGACTTTTACTTTGCTGCTAAAAATAATGTAACTGCCGTCATTTTACCTATCACTCTGTTGTTTCTATTGAGATGCTAGTGTCACTGCCCATAACAAAAGATCGCTATACTACTCTCTAGTTTCTACTGTCTCCCACTAGTTACGGTGGATATTCCGGAATTATTTTTTTCCTGAATTAAACATTCTTTCAAACTTGTCCTTTTTTCTGTTTTCCTAATTTAGCCAGTTACTAAAAGATCCAAGAGTATTATTTGCAGGATACAAAGCTCCTCATCCATTAGAGCACAAAATCGTCATTCGAGTACATACAGCTCATCCAGCGACACCTGTAGATGTTTTCGTTTCTGCTCTGAAAGATCTTATAAGTGAGATCTCGAATATAGAAGAGCAGTTCAGAGTAAGCGACCATTTTTTCATCAGTCTTATTCTGTTTAGATGGCGACAAAATGAAACATTACATTTGTACATATTATTTATTTATATATTCATAACGATAAAATGAAAATACTTGTCCTGCGAAATTTTGTCTTTCAATTAGTCCATTCCTTACCTTGTTGAAATGTAAAGTTAAGGAAGTTGAAAGCATAATGATGTCGGGTGATATAGGACTGGTTTGCTGTAAACATTTTCGGGTGATTTTCCTAAGGATTTTATTTCCTCACTGTAGCTAGTATCACCTGATGACATACAGAAATCCCGTGTATGTGAAGTGAAAGATACTTGTTACTTTAGATCTATATTTCTTTTAATATTCCATACATGTCCTAAATACCCATTGATTTAAAACAGCTTCGAGATGCCATCCGTAAATGATTGTGTTTTATAGCGGACGATTTCAAAATTGGGACTACTTAACTGCATATCTGACATGTTCATCAAACAGAAATTCAAAACATTAGGTTTAGTAGAATTTAAAATTCACTTAGTGGAGACAGACTGCTAATGCAATATCGTTTCGCTCAGTCGGTCAACTTCACCAGGACCATCTCATCGTTTTAAATTATTAAATCCTTTTTATTCTGTTGTTATCAGCAGAGATTCACTTAGTTAGGAGCACGAATTAGCCTCCTGGACTCAGTTTTTTATTTATAATGGTTTCTTTATTTATTTATCTGATCATATAAATATTGGTGCAAAGGGCACCAGATACGTATGTATCAAATAATAATAATGAGAATATGAAGAGATAGATAATGTAAGGTATCTATAAGAAAAAGAGGAACAATAACGAACAGACATTAGTGTATGATAATGAAATAATAATAATGGAAAAGGTAGTTCAGTTTACAAAAGTACAACCAGGGAGAATTCTACCAGTCGAAAAAGTTACGTCCATTTTTATGAAGAAAGTAAAATAACGTTAGAGCAGAGTTGCCACTGGTTCCTATTTGAGCCGCATCCGATAACGTCTCTAGCCACTGTGTAGCACCATCTCTCGGACCCCAACCAGGGAGTCGTGAAGGACCAACACAAGCCAGTCCTTTGCAGCTTTCTTTCATGCCACGACACCATGTCATGCACTGACCACCTCTCCGCTTCTTCCAACCAGTCCCAGAGTCGGCAAATAATGCACGACGTGGAATTCTCTGGGACGACATTCGGAGAACATGTCCAAGCCACCGAAGTCGGTGTTTCAAGATGGTGACACCAATTGAATTATCATCTCTGTGCCCGAACACACGATGCCGAACCTCTGCATTACTGACATGGTGTTGCCACTGAATGTCAGCAATCCTTCGGAGACAGCGATGATCGAACACAGAGAGTCGTCTAACGTCCTCAACTCGGAGAGGCCAGGTTTCACAAGCATAGAGCAAAACTGCTCTCACCGACGCGTTGTAGATCCGACCTTTTACAGCCAGACTAACATCACGAAGGCGCCAAAGGTGGCCCAGATTGGCATAAGCCGCTCTGGCTTTCACTATTCGTGCATTGATCTCATCACTCACACCCCCACCAGCACTTATGCAGCTACCCAGATACACGAACTTCTCGACTACGTCTATCTGCTCACCATCCAGGGTGAGTACAGGATTAGAATCCTGCCAGTCTTGTAGAAGTACTTTGCACTTCGAAGGTGCAAAGCACATACCATACCTACGGACACTGATTGCCAACTGATTAAGTGCGGATTGCATGCCTTGGGCATTATCGCACAGTAAGACAATATCGTCCGCATACTCAAGGTCGAGAAGTCTTTCTCCAGGCAACAGATCCACACCACCATTACTTACATTCATCAGAGCTGTTTCCAGAATGTCATCGATGGCAAAGTTGAAGAGGAATGGTGAGATTGGGCAACCCTGCCTAACCCCACTGCTCGAATGGAACAATGGAGAGAGGTGGTTGTATGCCCTCACTCTGCCTGAGGTGTTTGTTAATAAACTTCTCAGGCACACCCTTCTTCAATAGACAATCCCAGAGAACAGTCCTGTCCAACGAATCGAAGGCAGCCCTGATGTCAAGAAACACTACGATTGTTGGCCTTTGAAAGTATGGCGGTGTTCTAACATTTGGCGGAGGGTGAAGATATGATCAATACATCCTCGACCAGAACGAAACCCAGCCTGCTCCTCGCGAGTCAATCTTTCTCGGGTTTTGAACAACCTACGAAGAATGACGGAAGCCAATAGCTTGGACGCAATCGGAAGTAACTTATCCCCCGATAGTTGTTACAGAACGACGTGAACCCTTTTTAAAGATAGGGACAACTATCGACTCATTCCATGACGTTGGTACACTCTCTAGTTCCCAAACCTTTGTAAACAACGTCGTCAATTCCTTAGTCAAAAAGTCACCACCATCTTTAAAAAGAGCCGGAGGTAAGTCATCTGGGCCAGGTGATTTGTAACGCTTCAAGAGTTGGAGTTCCTTGCGGACTTCCTCCTCATTTGGTGGATCAGTCGTCACCGGCCATGGAGGGCAGGACAGTCTGACCGATGTTGCCGGAGCAGCAGGCCAGTTGAACTGCCCTTCGAAAAATTCTGCCCATCGTCCAAGACGTCGATGGATGTTAGTGATTGGCATCCCATCATCCTCGCAGATTGTTTCACTCACACCAGACTTCTTGCTGCCAGTGGCTCGGATGAGCTGGAAGAGCTTCCGGTAGTTACCAGATGCAGCTGCTGCTTCCAGCTCATTAGCACGCATCGACCACCAGGCTTCTCGGTCCTTACGCAAGCTTTGCCCAATTTCCTTACGTAACATCCTTCGTTTATGGTCAAACTCACGGTCACCCGGAGTAGACCGACGGGCTTCAATGAGTTGTAAGGAACCAGAAGAAACCCAGTGCTTAAAGCGGGACGTTTCGCAAACCCACAACTGACTGTTCCCGCCATTTTCATGGCGTCATGCAATTGCAACCAATGCTCATCTATACTTTTCGGTGGAGTGGTAGCTAGCCTAGAGGCTAGCTCGGTTCGATACTTACTTGCAACAGAAGTTGCAACCAGCTTGCTAACATCAATCCGTTGATGGCGTCACTTCGTTGTCCACTGAAAAGTAAGGCAAGATTGGCGCAGACCAAGGCATGGTCAGAGTCCAGATAGGTACTCCAAAAGGAGCGGCAGTCTTGTACACAACCACGCCAGCGGTAGCTGATCGCGATGTGATCAATCTGAGTCCAGGCTTGAGATGCAGAGGGAGGACGCCAGGTGGCACATCGGCGATGACTGTGCCGAAAGTTAGTGCTAGCCAGAAACAGGTTGTGGTCTGTGCAAAGTTGCAGTAGACGGTCCCCGTTATCTGACCTGCGACCAACGAGTCCCCATCGGCCACCTAAACGACTCTCTTCTGTGCCTAGACGCCCGACCTGAGCATTCAAGTCTCCGGCTAGTACTACAATATCTGTCGAACGCACTTTCTGGAGAAGAACTGATAACTGGTGGTAAAACTCATCCTTGATTGCATCCGGGCTGCAATCTGTCGGGGCATAGGCGGAGATGACGAAAAGACATCGTTTCTCACGCCGATTTCTTCTCACTTTGATGGAACTTTCTAATCTAACAGCACATAACCGACTGTTAATGGGGATCCAATCGACTAGTGCTGCCTCAGCTCTAGCGCTTAGTGCGACACCAACGCCAGCAAGACCAGACGAAGATGCCACAGGGTCCCCGGATAAGCGCACGTAAAACAAGCTTTTCGAAGCGACAGATGGAGATCGAATTTGTAGTACTTCGCCAGAGTCTTGAATACGGGTCTCGGATAGACAACACACATCGATATTAAGACTTTCCAAAGACATAGCCAGCCCTATCTGTTGTCCGACCTGCATAAATGTGCGAACGTTGAAGGCAGCCAGTTTGAATGGTGCACGTGGTTTCAGAAAAACTGCTTCAGTCCTCGTATTCGGTGGTAACATACAATTTTCAACCGGACAGTGACTCGAGAACGTTTAGATACAGTCGGATTTCCACCAAAGACGAGCCGCTGTATAAGTATAAAAGAGGGTGAATAATGTGGAAAATAATAATAATAATAATAATAATAATAATAATAATAATAATAATAATAATAATAATAGTATTAATAATGACAATAATTGTAATGATAATAATTTGAATCAATTGATTGTTTTTCAAAGCGAGAAAAGTAATTTCCATAGACATAAAGAGTTCATCATTTGTGTGTGGGCTGTGATACTGCCCGGGTGCCCAAACCGAAGCAGGTGGTTATCTTAGGGGGCCACTCCCCGAGCCTTTGACCTAAAGGTCTAACCCACAAGGCAGTGGAGCATCGTAAGGAGATGCAGTCCCATGGTAGCCGGTGACCAACGATTGGTTCATACGCCATTCGTTCCCGCAGGATACTGGAGCCCATGTGCACCATTGGTTTGGAATCCGGTTAAAGCGCCGGACATTCGCTTTTCGTCCTCTCATTTTCGTAAACAACACCCCCGCCACGAGAAGGCAATGAGTAGGACTTCCCTGGCAGAGGCTGTATACGCGTGGCCGTGTGAGAGTATTTCGAGAGGGAGAGCGGACTCTCCCCACTCGCGGCCGTACCAGGGCATTAGGGGCCACATAGAATTACTACAAAGAGTTCATGCTGTGTCATACTGAACTAAGTTCACATTAATTTAATTCAAAAACTAGTGTCCTGAGTAATTATCACACTGAAATAAAAATCAATCTTATACTAAACAAAATATCACTGAAAATAAAACGAACGTTATACTGAGGGGTTATAAGTCTGAATAAGAAACGGAAGTAATGTTGGATCACAACCACTCCAAGCTGAGGCGCGATTCCTCTGTTTTATTCTATCCTAAAAGAAGAAAACAGCAAGAAATGAAGGATTAATACGATAAATCTCTTTTTATGTATACTTACGACTTGAGTTTAACAAACTGGTTTATGGAAAGCATTTTCTAGACTCCAATGCTTTTGAACATCTGTACTGCACAATGATGCAGTAAACAGGTAGACATACATGTCAAACGTGTTTGAGTGCTTCTCCTTCATATTGTATTATTTACACTCAATGATCTATTCTCTACTATCAACTCTAAAGGTTTTACAGGCGGTCTTTTTTACAACGTTATTCGTTAGCTAATGGTAGTTAGTACTGAGTTAGTCTTTGTGGATTATTTTTTAAGGTTCGGAATGTAGACGATAAAGATCCAGCTTAATAATCTGAAGATTAAGATATTTACTTGCTAGTATGAAAGTTCTAAAGATCGTCATTGGCATAACAAAATAGCTTTCTAACAAGTATTTTACTAATACCAAGCAAAAGACAGTTTACCTCAATGACTGACTAGTTATACAACTGTTAACAACAAAGGATCTCTGGACGATTGTTTCATCTTCGTATGAAAGTCTCTACTTACTGATTCATAATCTTTTCTTGCAACAAACTAAAACATTCGGGCTATATAAAGACGTCATTAATCTAGATCACTAAGTTGGAAGTCAATTGTCTACATTGTGAATTGATAAATAGGTTTCTTTTACAAATCACCAAAAGTTAGTCAATCCATTAACATGAACCAATAAAAATAAATGTTGATTGTTATATCCCGATGAGAATAATGAATGGTAACTTTTGGGATCCATTTATGGACCAATACTAAACGTATATTTCTATTGTATAATTGTTAAATAACTAAACTATTCATATTCATATCCCTCTTATCATGAGTTTTATTTTGACCTATGAACTATTACTATACGATTTACCATTCTTGAATTATGCCCTGTCTATTACTTACTACCTCCCACATTCACAACCACATTTGGCCAAATCTTGTACAAATGTTGATTCCTATTTTATGGTACGATGTGGTCTGTTTGATTGGTATATAAACTCCGTATGTTTGAAATAAACTATTTCATTTTGCAGAGGTTGAGATTGGTATTCTGGACTTAACTGGGTAGGTTAGGCAGGAAGCAGGACCAATAAATAAGGACTTCTAGACTACT